CTGCTTTTTTGCTTGTTATGCAGCAGCCAATGTCACAGTAGCCCTGCCAGGAAAACAAAAACAGAGCAATTTGCAGCCCTGCATACTTTTAGTTTAGGTTATGAAAGCTTTCTTCCTGGCTTTCTGCAAAACCCAGAAGTCCTGGCTTTCATCTGTACACTACTGTTCTCTGAATCTTGCCTGTGGGGGGAAGGGGGTGTCTCTCTACTCCACTCACCCCCATTTAAACCCCTCAGACACAGTATAATATGAGGAAATGGCTGCTGGTGTAAATATTTTAAAGATCTCTGGGTAGGCATTGCTTTTCCTTTGCCCCTATTCCTTTCCTCTAATTAATAAACCCCGGCTCTTTTGCCAGAGCATCATGAAATCTGCGGCTCTCAGCCCTTCCCTTTTCATAACCTACTAAATTTCACTTCATTCCCACTGGACCCAGGAGTCCTGATTTTGCAATAACCAATCCAATGAGGCCAGCACTGGGCGGGACTTCCCTTTGAAAAGGCTTCCAAGCTTTGCCTCCTAACGGGAACCTTCCTTGTTAAGGTGGCGTTGCGGAGATCACCCTTGGATCTTCCTGCTTTCCACCTGGGTGGCCAAGTGGTCAGTCCCCAGATTACCCAGAATTCCACCCTCCTGGTTTTTCAATGTCACCCTGAGGGCTTCTGGGGCTGGTGGCAGGACCTAGATGCACCCAGGCCAGCAGTACACAAAGGAACCAAGGCAGGGGCCCCTTGCTTTGCGGGTCAGTTTACCAAGCATCTGCAGCTCTGGGGCCAGTTGCTGCAATCAGAGGATGCCAAAGAAGGTAGTGCGGTCCAGCTGAGCCATGTGAATGGGGATATGAGAGGTCCAGCCAAAGAATTACAGGTACTGGCAGCAAAACGTTAACTGGTTCATTTATTCTATGAAACCCCAGGCCCTGTGCGCCCCCATTCTCTTGCATCTGGGTCTGAGGGTTGCCACTTTCCCAACACCCCGACAGACAAAGCTTTTCTTGACACAGGGCTGGATTCAGACAAAGTCATAGATACATAGATAAATTAGGACTTACGTCACCCATGGTCAACTTAACTGGCACTGATTTCATGGGGTCTCCTCTGCAGATGACTAAGGGAGCAATCCTCTGCATGTTTAGACAGGAAGAAAAAGTTGCTTTCTATTCTATCCTATCTTATTCTTACTTAGCATTGCACCTTAACTACAAATAAGTCTGCAGGAAAAGCTCCCATGGCTTAATCGGTTTCCTCCATCTGCCATTCCCTCCAGTTGCTGATTCACAACCCTGCTCAATAGCCTTTCTTCAGCTGCTTTGCCCAGGCTTTCAACATCTGTTCAGTGTGGAGTTTGATCACCGCCAGACCAACAACTTTCCGTCATCAGAACTAAACTGCACACATTCTGTCACTGAAATCCTGATTCTCTCAAACTGTTGGAAAGTTAGTGACATCACGGCAGCTCAGCCAATTGGTGTTGAGAATTCACTGCCCTAAGATCAAAGCAATATAGTTTGCACTCCTGGTGGTTGGTGTGCAAAGCTGGTCTTCCTCAGGAAATGCAAACAATTGCTAAGGAATGTGCACAAATTCTCTCTTGCAGGCTCAGAATTGGAGGAACTCAAAGGATAAAACTCCACAGCTCACCCATTGGTAAGCTTGGTTCGAGCATCATGTATGCCTCTCCTGCTACTGCTACAATCTTATTGTGGAGGAGAGAAGAGCTGGAAAAATAGGTATGACCTGGTTGCTATGAAGTGTCATTTCCCCCTTGGCCAACATTTTCAGATAACCTGAAGTAGTAAGGAAGCACCTCAGCAGTTTCCTAGCAACCACCCCATGCTTCCACTAATTTCCCATGGGCTCTCGACATCAACACCATATTTAACGTCCAGTCTTCCTCCTGAATCGCTCCTTTGATTCCATGCTCAGAGAATAAGCACCACAGATTAGAAATGTGTTGAAGAAGCAGGAAGCATGGCCTATAACATGAGTTATGAGTGCCACTGGGTTCTGTGGAAAAGTTCGTGTCATGCAGAGTGGAAGCAGATGAGGGGACGTTGTTAGACTCCCATTCTCTTCAAATCCAGCCAACCTGGCCATCGAGGATGCTGGGATTCAAGAGATCCAGGTTCTAGTCCCTGCTTAGCCATGAAACCCACTGGGTGACTTTGTGCCAGACACAGACTCTCAGCCTAACCTGCCTCACAGTGTTACTGTAAAGTAAAATGGAGAGGAGGTGAACCTTGAAGCTACTTTAGTTCCTTGGAGGGCAAATAAAGATGCGATATAAATGAAGTGTAATCATAATAAGAATTGAGGCCTTTGAATTGTGGTGCTGAAGAAGACTCCTGAGTATCCCATGGACCGCAAGGTGATCAAACCGGTCAGTCCTAGAGGAGATGAACCCTGACTGCTCTTTAGAAGGCCAGATCCTGAAGATGAAACTCAAATACCTTGGCCACCTAATGAGAAGGAACAACTCATTGGAGAAGACCCTGATGCTGGGAACGATGGATGGCAAAAGAAGGAGAGGGCAGAGGATGAGGTGGCTGGATGGGGTCACTGGGGCAGTGGGTGTGAGCTGGGGTGGACTCTGAGGGGTGGTGGAGGACAGGAGAGCCTGGAGGAATGTTATCCATGGGGTCATGATAGGTTGAGCATGACTTTGCAACTACCAGTAGCAATCACAATAACATCTCACAGGCCACAGGCTGCCCACTCTTGGGTTTAGAGTGCTGAATTAGATCTGGGGAGACCCACACATCCATGGAGCTCACTTGGGGAGTCACTACCCCCTTGACCTAACAACCTCATAGGGTCATTATATGGATAAAGTGTGAGTGTGGGGGAAAGACTGGATAGCAATACATGAGGGCAACCCTATGCATGTTTTAACAGAAAAATGGCTTCAACTCACAGCATCTCACTGGGGCAGGCTGGGAATTGTCAAACGTTCTTTCTGGATTTATCCGCTAAGTGCATAAAATGACCTCGGATATGCATTTTACACCCTTCTGTTCTATTTTACCCTCACCACTATTTTTTTCTAGTGAAGCAGAGATCATTCTAAATGTTAGTAAGATAATTTGGAGGCTAAGTCCATGTTGGATCCAGTCGCTGGGCCCATTCTTTTAATTTTCTTCTTCTGGCACCGTGTCCCTCCAAGACTGTGAAGTTCTGCTGGAACAGGGGTTCCTTGGGGCCAGTTCACACACAAACTCTGCTTCTGCACAACATGACTGTGAAATCAGGGTGTACAACTATTAATATTCCGCTCAGCGACCAGGTTTCCCATTCTGGGAAGGGCAGTGCCCCATTTTTTCAGTTTCTTCTCCCTGCCTGCAACTTTCTGCTAATACAGATTGCACTTTCTCTGGAACATTTTGTTCCCCTGCTCGCTTGCTTGTCTAGGTCTTCAACAAACCAACAGCACTCTTCAGGGGCTGAATTGGACCCAGAGATCTTCTAGTTGTTGAACCCCTGTGCTAGCGTCAATTCGATGATATCTGGAGACAGCCTTGTATCGGCCCTGTACATAACCTGTTTCGTGCTTCCATTTTCCCTTTCTGTGGCAAGGATCACTTGGCCACATTCACATGAAATGTCTTCTCAAGCAACACACGACTTCTCCATCTTACGTTTTGATGACACCTTCCCCTCCATGACCCTGCTTACTGCTCCTCCTCTGCGTGTTGTCTTCATAACAACCCTGCAAAGGAGCTTAGGCCGAGGTCCAGTGACTGGTCCAAAGTCACACTGTGTGTTCATGGTGGGTCCAAAACTCTGCCCACTGCCCACTGCCCACAGGGGCAGCCCTGCACGAGATCCTGCACTGGGTAAATGTCCTCTCCTTGCATCTGTGTACGTGCAGAGTGCCAGATTTGTGGAATCCACTGTTTCTTCTGGATCCACCTTAAAACCCATCTCCTCTCTCTCTCTCAGTTGCATCTCTTTGCGTCCCTTGGGAGCCGGGAAGGGAAAGTGAGAGAGAAGATCTGTGCATTTTAGAAGGGGGGAGGGGAGGAGGAGGAAAGAAAGGAAAGGGAAGCTGAGGCTGTGAGATGCAGAGAAGAAGGGAAAGCAGAAAGGCAGGCAAAGGAGGTATAAGAGAAGGGAGAGGGGGCCTGGGAGGAAAGTGGGGGGGAGAATGACGGGGGGAGCAGGAGAGGGGAAAGGTGAAGAAGTTCGGGGCAGAAGGAGATAAAAAGGGAGGGAGGGAGGGGCCACGGGAGAGAAGGAAGAAGAGAAGCCGAGGAGAGAAAGGTGAACAAGAAAGGTGGAGGAGAAAGGAGAAGGAGGAGGGAGCAAAGCGAGGCGGAGAGGAAGACTCGGGAGAGGTGCAGTGTGTGAGGCTGTCAGAAAGAAGAGGCGAGCCAGAGAAGAGGGGACGGGGGGAAAGAAAGAAGTTAAGTTGGGGATCCACAAGATTTCATCCCATCATTATACCGACTGCTCCCCTCTACCCCCAATCGCCTTATTCCCCAGTGACCACCCCCCGATGCCCCGAAAGCCCCCGCAGCTGGGAGTCGCACAGCTCAAGTCCCCCGACCTCATCTTTTAAACAATCAGCAAAGAAGAAAGGGAGGGGAGGGGAGGGGAGGGGCGGGAGGGGGCGCGGGTGTTCTGTGCGCAGCCCCGTGGGGCGACCCCCCTCTCGTGGGGCCCCCGAACCCTTCCCCTTGCCCGGCTCGCCATTCCATCTTATAAGCGAAGGGAGGGGGACGGGGGTATCCCCTGGAGAGGGGGCGGGAGAAAGATGGAGAGATGGAGGAAAGAGAGCTAGGAAAGAGCGGGTGGGGGGAGAGGAGCGCGATTAGATAGATTAGTTCGGCAGACGGGCGGGCGGGCGGACAGACGGGGCATGGAGAGGGCAGGGGGCTTTCGGGAGTGATACAGATTGTCTGTGGGAGGCACAAGGGCTCGCCGGACACGCGTGGGTCGCGGGGGTCGCGAAAGCCATCTTCCGAGACTGCGGACGGAGGCGCCACGCGGGATGCTGAGGAGGGGGCATCTCCCGATCTGAGGCAGCCCCCCCCCCCGCTACAGCATGATGACGACCAGACTGGGGGGGCTTTTCCTGTTGGGGTTCCTGACAGCAACTTGTATGGCTGGTAAGAGACGGAAGGAGGTGAATGGGGCAGGTGGGGGGTGCGAGGAGGGGTGGGGGGAGCGGGGAAGAGCTGCCCGTTGCAAAGCAAAGGAAATTCCCTGGAAGAAAAATGCTAGGCTAAGCTAAAGGTAATCAGGGTAGCAACCAGTCAAATGTTTAGTGATCTGTCTGTTCATCCATCTCTTTCTATAGGCATAGACATATAGGAGCAATTTATTAATTTCAGATCATCCTAATTTATTCATACTAATCTACCCATAAAATCCACCCACCCTTTGTAAGCTTTTTACTCGTAGAAACCCCTCTTTCTACTCTTTCTCCCCTTGGTCTACCTATCCACCTGTGCCTGTGCCTCTTTCTGTACCTGGCTATGCAAGGCTTAATTTTTCCTCTTGGGTTCAAGTCCCTTCTGTTCTTGTCTGTGCCAGGACCCTGGTCCTGCAAGCATTAGCTGAAGTAGTAAGAGCAGGGACAGAGTGTCTCTGAACATGTACAGTGTGCCTTCCCTCTCTACTGGGTCATCCCAGGTGGTCTGCTCTTCTGGGTGGCTATTTATGGCAGGAGCGGCAACAGACTTGCCTGGAGTCTCAGTACCTGCCCCCGGAGAACTCCAGCATGACCCTCAATGGCTCTTCTGTACAACCTGTGTGTTAGCCATTCAGGAAAGAAAGACAGCAAGAAAGATGCAGAGGCAGAGGGTTCCAAGCAGAAATAGGTTGCCCTTTCCATGCATCTGCTTCCTGCACTAACTGCCCTCATTAATTAATCCTTTCTCTTCTGTCCTCCTTTCCCCCCCCCTCCTCCAGTACAGTTTGTTCCTGCAAAGACCTACGAGGACTGGTGGGCTTACAAGGAGACGCTCCACGGTAGCTTTGTGCCAGGTACGAAATTCCTGTGGCTGCGAGTGTTGGTGCTTGTACTGATGAAGATGATGATGATGATGATGATGATGATGGGCGAAGCATCAGAGAATGAATAGTGGCTTACCACTGCTTTTCTCATTCGCTTTTTAAATACAGCAGGACCCCTGTATCCATGCGGATAGCTTCCAAGCCCCCCAGCAGATACCTGAAACCACAGGTAGTAGCAAATACTACAGTTGCAGGGTTAGAAGAGCAGGATCAGTGTAAAATGGGAAAAACCACAAGTATCTCCGGAGAAAAACGCAAATATCTCTAGAGTTTTTGCACCCACTGAGACACATGAGTGAGGCTGGCTAGTATCGAGACAAAGAGTGTGGCATTCCCAGCCAGCATGCAGTTCCCTAGAGATATCTGCAGTTTTTCCACTTTTGTGAGGGTCGTGTGAATGTGGAGGGCTGATGGTCAACCTCCATTAAGTGAAACCATGGTAACTGAGACAGTGAATACGGGAGTCCTGCTGTATCCCAACCCAGGTAGCTGTCTGTGAATTCTGACTGTGTGCAGAGAATTCCTCTTGCATCAGCATTTCTTGCAAGTGGAATGTATATCAAGGCCCATTGAAGGAAGCTGACTTTTCCTTTCCTGCATGATGCCCTATTGTCTGATGCCCTGTGGAACTCACAGACACAGGATCTTATATGGGTCAGCAGAATAGCCAGGTCCAGAGTGGCCTTTTCATTCAGGACAGAAGAAACTGGGTGAGACCCGTAGCTTGATGGAAGAACACCCATGCTTAGCATGCAGGTAGATTCAGGATGACTCGTTCCTGGCTTGTCCAGTTCAAAGGATCATGTAATGAGTGATGGGAAAGAACTCTGCTTGCCAGTCGGAAAAGACAAAAAGCCCAGTCTGGTTCCTAATTTAAAATCATAACGGGAGACAGTATCAGAAAGGTGAATCCCATAATGCTTATTTAGATTTTTTTAAAAGATAAACATGAGAAAAGACTTGCCTGCAATCTTCCCATGATAAGAAATTGAATACCAAATTAAGTGGAGATCTTTCAGACGTAGCTCTGAAAATATGATGGATGGGAAAGGAATTTATAGGACGGAAAAAAGGACCAATGGAAAGCTGGCTTGGCAGGCCAGCCTGGACTTCCAGGAAAGAAAAGGAACGGGAAAAGAAGGGATGCATGGTGGGAAGAAGGGAGAAAAGTGAGTGGGTGGGGGAGGGGTCCTCTTTGAGTCAGGAGGGTTGGTGACCCAGAGCACTTTCTGGCCCCGAGATGACTTAATTTTAGTCTGCTTAAAAAGAAAGCTTGCAAACTTTGTCATGAAAGATAACACGCTGCAATGTTTAAGTTTGTTTTGCTTGCCAAATGTTGACGGGGACAAGCTGGCGGCTACGCCTTGTTGTTGTTGTCGTCATTTACATATCATTTATAAGATATGCAACTGGTCTTCCTCGTCATGGCAGGAAACTTGAACGGTGCAAGAAGTGGCAGATAAAGCTAAGAAAACAGAGTGAGGATTTCCCTTGTCAAATGATGGGGCACCTGGTGGAAAGATCACCCGCTTGGGGCCTTGCCCTCCTGCTTTAAAACGTCCACTTCTCCCTCACTTCTCTTGCCGCTCTGCATTCCTTTTCCTCCCATATGCTCTTCCTCCTCCCGCCTCCCCTTCCCAGGCCTTGGCTCCTGCAAAACTTCCAAATGTGGCGGCGGTGGCTGGCGGCAGGGAAAACTAACTCCCAGCTTTGCCATCTGAATAAGCTAGGCCGGTTAAGCAGATGCATGCAAATGGAGTAAATTTGCATAATTTATTCTGAGCTCAGGATGTGGGATTCCTCGGCGCGGAATGCTGGCACCGACGCCAGACGGCCAATTAGATCTGGACGCCGGAGAGGAGCAGATGCCTGGCCGGGGACCCCCACCCGCCGCCGGTCCCCCCTGCGCTGGCCGCCGGGAGGACTCGCGGGAGCCCGGGGGTGGGGTGGGGTGGGGGTGGGGGTGCGGGGGGAGGGAGGGAGGGAGGGCCGCCGTGGGAGCGGGCTGCGCCTGCCAGTGCGCAGTGCCGAGCCTCGGGGGGGGGGGGCCGGGCCGGCTCCGCTCGGCAGCTGCAAAAGGCTGCATTAATATTTAATATCTCCCTCACCCGCTCCGGCGATGCAGCGAGCAGAAGGCGGGAGGAGCAGGGCCACTGCGCCGGGGAAGGTGGGTGGCGGGGTGGGCTGGGGTGGGGTGAGGGGGGACCGCTCGCTGCCGGGGGGCGCGGGCCAGCAGGCTCCCCTCCCTGCCCCTGCCTGGGAGGGCAACGGGGGAAAGGGCAGGACGCGCTCCCTTTCGGAGGGAGAGAAAAACCGTTGGGTGCACACGTCTGGGCGAGGAGACAGAAGCGCACGGTGAAGCGCAGCGGGAGTGAGGGCTGGAAGCCGTCTGCGTGCGCACGGAAGCGGGCTTCGCTGCCTTGCGCCGGCACACATCCCCTGGGCTGGAAGAAAAATAAGTCGCTCTCTTCCTTTTTAAGCACACACGGAGAGAGGGGGCAAACCCCAGAGCATGTGACCAGGCGCGGGCATGCGAACGGTCACAGAGAGACTGATGCACCCGCAGGTGGTGCATGTATGCACAGAGGCCAGCCCCAGCTTCAGCGGGCCTGTGCAAAGGTGCCTTCGGGGCCTCCCTGCCTCAGTGGGTCCCGCCACCACGTCACCTGCCCCGCTCTTGCCCCTCAGCCTTTCTCTCATCCTCATCATTGCTTGCTTGAGAGGCAGGGAGCTGGCAAGGGAGCCAGCAGAGGCGTGCATTGCTCTTCCATCTCTCTGGCACCAGTGCGGGGGCAGAACAACAGGCAGGTTGCAGTGAGGAAGAGGAGCAGCAGCTGCAGGGGTCTACTGTCAGTGCACCCCTGCTGGCGTGTGAGCCTTGGTAGGTGCCCATTCAGGCCTTCCCTTGGTGCTGGCTTGGTCACTTTAAGCAAATACACTCCTCGAGCAAAATTCCCTGCCATCCATATGAAACTGGGTAGGTGCACACACACCAATGAGCATTCAAGAACATTCTAGAAGTGCTGGGATTCGGAGACACGCATTTTGATCTTCTTATGTCTGCCTGCATCTTGAGATACAGAAAACTTTTGCATGTCAAGCTGAGTCTGGGGTCTCCATCACCTACTCTCTGGCCCAAAGTGGTTTGCAGTAAAATTAACACTGGGCTGGCATGTAAATACATTTGGTTTTTCTTCCTTATTGTTCTCTTCCTCATCAAGAGCGTTTGTTTGCACATGCAACCAGCTGTGGCAGAGAGAGCCGCAAGGGTGCTTCACAGACCCTACATATTTAAAAAGTCACCCTGGAGGTTGTTGTCAAACAATGACAAGCACACACAAACACACACTGTCTGGCTAAAGCCCTCCCCAGACACGCTCCTGCTCTCAACTCTCTGTAATTGCACCCCAGGGACCGGGGGATAAAAGTGTATGTTTTCCTTGTCTGTTTCTCAAGGCTCCATCCCAGCAGGACTCAGTCCCAGGATCTGTTTTATATCGTTCTTTTGCAGGTCCCCCGTTCTGGGGTCTCGTGAATTCGGCTTGGAGCCTCTGTGCCATTGGCAAACGCCAGTCCCCCGTGGATGTCAACACGAGCCAAATGGTGTTTGACCCCTTTCTTCCTCCACTTCGACTAAGCACAGGCGGGAAGAAGGTGCGTGAATGAGTCCACTAGTTCTCCAGAACTTGCTCTGTCCGGGGAATGACCACACCAAGGTTTGCAGCCTGAAAGGATTCAGGCTTCCTTCAGTGGTGTGTTGGGTGCTTGCAGGTGCACCTTGAACACCTGTCAGGTGTTGTACAGCTATTCTGGCTTCTCTTCCTTAACGGATCTTTTGTGGTTGAAAAAAAAAGGATGCAAGAAGGAATGGAAAACATGAAAGGGTTTCAAATGGAAGATGATGACATGACTACCAGCTGTAAAACTCCATGTTTGATGTAAGGCAATGGTCAGATACAAACCCTCATCTGGAAACAGCCTTAGTCCTGCTCAGCTTCTCATGCTGATTTTGGTGGGACTTCGGTGCAACCAAGCATGCCTGTATGGACAACAACGATTAAGATATTTTGAACTGATTCCAGATTTGGGCTGGATCCTACCCAGGGAGCTTACCGACAAAGCTTTCATTGTCTAATCGGCTCGCCTTGTGCAAGGCCTTTGGGGCGGGGGTGGGTCTGGATGTCATAATCTTCCGTTTATAACCCTGCCGTCTTTTTTCCCCAAGTGCTTCTTCCATCTTTTTTCTTACCTCATAAAACCCATCTAGAAGGGAAGGGCAGAGTAGTGGCATAATGCCTTTTGATTGGTATTATTAGTCTGTCTGGAAGCACTCTCAACACATTAAATATTTTGGGAGGCTTTCCAATTTAATAAGACCACTTTGGGTATGACTGTATTTGGAAGCAGCCCTTCTGCTTCGTTAACAGGACCCCATTAATAGGATCATGAATGAAGGCTAAAACAGGAATGATAAAACGTTATCGGAAAAATTGACCAAAGGGAGAGGCGTTCAATGGCCAACCATGTCACAAATACACTTTAACCTGGTATCTGAATGCCAGTGGGGAATGCGCCAAAGGCATGTCCAGGAATAAGAAGTTCCGCAGCATGGGGGCCACAACGGAGAAGGCCCTGTCCTTCCTACCCACCATGCCTCTGCTGGATGAAACATGAAGCAGCGGCCCTACTGAGGTATCAAGTGGAGATAGGATAACATAGGCCAGGAATGGAAAACCTCGTTCAACCCAAGGACAAAATTCCATATTGCATTCCAGTGGTGGGCAGGGCCAAAGCTGAATAAGTGGGGCCGAAATGCCAACCTAGTTTAGCTTGACATTCTAATTCCCAGTCACTGAGTCTTAGAAGCCACATTTCAGCCTTCTAGGTTGGGGGAGAGCACACAAAAGGTGGGACACCAGCAAATAATTGCAAGTTTGGGAAAAGGAAAGCAGGGAGGCCATCTGGGAAACCCCAGAGTGCTAGACTTGGCCAGCGACCCTGATTTAGGAGGACACATACCTTTAAAGGAAATCAGCAATAGTAGTAGCATTTAAATAGCACATTTTCGGTCAACAGAGCATTTGTACAGAGTATCTCTGCACATGTGATAACAGCCCTTTAGGCGAGGCCAGTATGTGGGACTGGGGCAGAAGCCGTGGCGATGATAGCTTGGCTAATGCTGCCAGTTGTGTTTAAGGCTGGATTGCACAAAGCACGTGCCTTTGGATCTGCCTCTTCCTCACTCTGAGCTGACCGCCTTTCCCTGTCTTGCTGTCTCCCTCTGGCAGATCAGTGGCACCATGTACAACACCGGACGGCACGTCTCTTTCCGCCCGGACCCGCTGCAGCTGGTGAATGTTTCCGGGGGGCCCCTTCTCTACAGCCACCGGCTCCAGGAGCTGCGCCTGCACTTTGGCAGCGAGGACGGGTTTGGCTCTGAGCACTGGATCGATGGCGAGGGCTACTCCGCCGAGGTGACCAAAGAGGCATATCTTGTATCAATGATGTTAGACTTGCTGCACGAGATGTGCTTTTTGGATGACTTTAGCAAAGGATCCGGGGGATGAATGGAATGGAAGTCTCTTGCAGGAGAGCAGGCTCTCTTTCAGCCCAGGGGCCGAATGCCATTTCGGAGGCCAAAGGCAAAGCAATGGGGCCAAAACCACCGCATGTTTTAATTCAAAACGCTTGCTGCCAGTAACTAAGCCTTGGGAATGGCACTTTAACATTTCAGAATGGGAATCAAGCTGTGCAAAGAACAGCAAATCACCAGATGATTCCACGTGGCTAGTTGAAAGGGGATGTGGCCCGGGAGACGGGGAATGGCCACCTGGGAAACTCAGTGGCCTGAGATTCTGCATCCCTGCTGTGTTGTCTATGCAAGCTAAATTGCTTTGGGTGTACACATATGTGTACATTAGTGTGCTTGGCCCACTGCTGGCCCAGCATCTCAGGTGGCCCTCAGGTTGTACACACCTGTGTGAGCCCTGAAATTTGGTACATGGGTCATCAAAGTCATCTGTGGCATTCTACCCACACATGGTTAAGGTATTTCCAGACCACCGCAAAAGCTGAAATTGAGACACACAACACCAAAATCCATTATAAAAGGTCACACCCAGCACAGAGTAAGCAAAGCTTCTGTTTGAATGAATTTCACAGTATATTGCTGGGGTTGCAGGATGAGTTAGATCTGGGGACTTAAAATCCAAATACAATTTCTAGAACATCTCTGTTTGGATAAAATGATAAAGTGCAGTGCAGTTCAACCCGTTCACCCTTTCCACATTCGCTCAGAGTTACCAAATGTAGGAGCAACAGAACCCCATGGTCAGTCTTCAGTTCTTCATCCTTTCTTTTTCCTGGCCACCTACACGTTTCTTCTGGAATCCTTTCACCCCCCCCCCCCCCCCCAGAAGGGGTGATTAAATGATCTTATGGCATGCGGGGTGCTGGTGGCCCGGCTGCCCCTTCAGACCTAGCCTTGGGGGCCCTGTGCCTTGAAGGGTCCCCAGGCAAGGCACCCTCCATGAGCCCCCTTCCTCAGAGCATCGGCCTTCTCGGCGCCATGGTCACAAACTGCTCTTGCACCTCCGCCTCTTCTTCAGCATCGCAGGTTGGCTGCTGCACTTCTCATCCCCTCAGTGGCCTAGACCAGAGCGAGAGGCAGGAGGTCGAAAAGGGGCTAGTCAAGAGGGTTGTCTGTGGGGTGCAGAACCTCAGCACCATGCCTGCCTGTGATGCTGGCCCCGACCCAGTTCATCCAGCTGCAGCCAAAGCCTCGTTATCCATGAATCCTAGTGGTTAGAGGAGTGGATTAAGATCAGGAATATCCAGGTTGAAGTCCTCACTTAGCCGTGCGACTGTGTGAGTGATCATGAAGCAATACCTTCTCTCTAAACCTTGCCTCCCTCACAGGGTTGTTATGAGGTTTTACTGGGGAAAGCAGAGAAGCCTTTGTCCTGCCTTGAGCTCCTTGGAAAAAGGGCAGATGATTAATGCAAGGACTGAATAAACTGCTCTATGCCTGCTAAAAGCTAGTCTTCTTTCCAAGTGCTATACTTTGTTTTCTCCTTCATTCCTCCCCTCTAGGTGCAGCTGATCCACTACAACCAAGAGCTGTACCCCAATATCTCAGAAGCCTCGCGCAATCCCAACGGCTTGGCTGTCATTTCCATCTTTGCCAATGTGAGTTCATCCTTCACCTCTAGGGGGCATCAGACTCCACCCTGGTGGAGAACAAGAACCAAAGCCTTGATTTGATTTCTGTCTGCAGATCGGGACAAGTCCCAATCCATTCCTAACCAGGCTGTTGAACAGGGAAACCATTACCCGGATCTCATATAAGAGTGAGTTGGACTCTTTTGAGGGAAATTGGGGTGGGGACGTATCAGAGGACAAGATGGTTAAGACCAGGAAGGAGAATGACAGTGCTGTGGGGATGGACAGATGAGATATGGTAGGATTTTGTAAAAGTGTGAAAAATGTAGAGGAAGTAGATAAAAAGGGCACATTTGTCTTTTATGTTCTGAATTAGAGATCACCATCAGAACAAAAGATAGGAAACGGAAAATGGACGTTAAGTCTTTTGGCTATGGTTTCTAAACTGATCTTCCACCAGCCTAGCTTTGAATACTAGCTGCTTTGCACAAAGAAAGTTAGCCTTGCTTGCCCGTACCTTGGAAGTGTTGGTGAGGGCTATTGTTGGCAACAGAAAGCTGAACCGTTAGAAGGACCTTTGACCCAATCCTGCCGAGTTCTTCTTGTGCTCTTAAAGTACGTGTGGGTGTGGGGATCTCTTTTCCTGCAGACGATGCTTACCTCCTGCACGATCTGAGCCTTGAAGATCTTTACCCCGAGACCTTTGGTTTCATCACTTACCAAGGATCCATGTCAACCCCTCCATGTTATGAAACAGCCACTTGGATCCTTGTTGACCGACCCATCAACATTACCTCTGTACAGGTAGGACCCCTGAGGAAGGGCATCTCTGAGCTCAGGACAAATCTTCTCATCTGCCCTCTGCCTTTCCCAGGTGTGCCTGGAAGCCTGCTCTGAACCCGCAGGGGAGATGCAGGGGAGCACGCTGGCTCATCATCCATGTTGAAGGCCGTCTTTGTGCTTGTTCCTCACCTTGGGCAGCAAAATGTCTTCAGTCAGCCTTGAGAGGAACTAGTTGTTCCCTTGTTCCCTGCTCATTCTCTCTCGACCGATTAGACTTTTATAGCCCCCCTGCCCCCCGCTCCATCCTAAGAGTCTAGGAGTCCTGATATGGCCTATTGTTCCTGCCTCCTTCTCCCACCTCTCTTTTCCTCAGATACACTCCCTCCGTCTTCTCAGCCAGAACCTCCCTTCCCAGATTTTCCGGAGCATGAGTGACAACTCCAGACCCCTGCAGCCTCTTTTACACCGAAGCCTTCGGGGCAACCGAGATCCACGGCGCCCCACTCGGCGTTGCAAAGGGGCCAACTACAGGCTACACGGTATGCAAGTTAGAAGCCCACACGTGGCTCTTCCGTGGCCTGATCCACTAGGCATCAGTCCTGGTCCACTTACTGAGCTCCACAATTGTTCCTTCTTTTCAGAATGCTGTCCTGCCTTTCTAAGTACTAGTCAAGGCTGTGTGAAATCAGAGGGAAAAAATCCACAAAGATAAAAATAAAATAAATGTCCTCCTGTGTCACAGACCTAATGAAATTAGCCCCAGAGGAAAGCTAGTTTTCGCAGTGTGAAAGTGTAATCTGGAAGCAGCAGTAGCTGAAATTAAAAGGTGCTAGACTGAAGTATTCAGCCGAGCCAAAAAGCTCATGTTTAAGGTTGTGGGTAAATTTTAAGAAAATTCAGGGGAGTGGCTTTACCTTTACGCATAAATAAAAGCTGCTTGCAGATTTTTCTTTCCTCCAGCCTTGCTACTGCTTCAAATGATCTTCCTGAGTCATGGAGTGGCATTATTTTCAGGATTGGGTTGGAAAAAAATATGGCTGTTCCCAGGAGCGGGAAGGCGGCTGGGCGGCTGTCTTTTTGTTGTTGCAAAATAAAAGAAATGCGAACCTTCAGTCCCCTGACATTTAAAGGTTATGCTGCCTTCCCCATTCTCAAAATTCACTCATCCCCTGAAAGACACTGAATACCCCCCACACGCAAAGGGGCATCTTTCCCATTAAGGGACATCTTTCCTATTAAAGTGTGTGTGTGTGAGAGAGAGAGAGAGGGAGAGAGATTCACTGAACCTTAAATTTAAACAAACAACCTTAAATGTAAAGACTCATTTAATGTAACTTGCAATTTGACCAAAACAAAAGTGGGAGAGTGGTTTTCCCAAGAAAGAGGTCAGAAGAGGAAGATTCCCTGAACCTGGCAAAAGGAAACCAGAGACAAGATCCTTACACTATATGATGTTTTTCTTCTCTTTTGCAGTTGATGGTACACGGCCTCCTAAAACTGTCATGTAGCTGAAGCCTGTCGGAGCACGTTTTTCCTGTTGAATGTTTGGGGGTGGCTGTCGCTCCCTCAAAATTTGATGTCTAACTGAGGAAGCTACAACCTCCTGCCTCTGGGTGACTCGCTTGTCCCCCACCATGCAAAAGGGAATTAAAAAGGGTGCCAGCGTGCAGGCGCAGGACAGCTTCCCTCCAGGGTGCCTCGGAATGCATTCGCCCCATTATGGCTCCTGGAGCGGTGGTACAATGTGCCCGAGGCGATCTATCAGCAGAACGTGGCTTGCTGCTCACTGATCAGCCGTATTGTAAAAGGGAGTAGGGAGCCCCTGAAGCTTGAGGACTAGAATGCTGCCTTCTGACATTACCTCCCTGCTTTCCCAAACAAAATATCTTTTGTTGCAGACATCAACAGATGCAACGTATCTGTGAATCCCAAAGGCTAGGGAGAGAGAATGTGCCCCAAAGTTTGGGCAGTCCAAGCAGTCTATGCTGGACAGATATGTGTGTCCCAAGTGTGACACACCGCCCTCAGAATATTTGGCGGACATAGAAATGCAGGCGGGTCATCTGGGTGTTCCCTGGAGCCATGGGACACAGTAAATGAAAGCAGGACTGTTTCCTCCAAGTGTTAATTCCCCAAACCTCAAGGTGCTTCGGGGGCAGGGTGAACATGCAGGGCTATCTCACAGACCCCGAGTTCCTTTCATTCATTTGGGGGAGAGTCATACACATGGAACTTCACCCCACTTTCTGTGTAAACGGGAGAATCTGGGGTGGACAATACCAACAAGAGTCCCCTTCCCTAATGCTCAGTTCATCCTGTGTGGGTTGGGAGAACAGAAAATGCGCAGGGACATCATGACGATTTCTGAACAGCTTTTAAGACCCTTGGCTGGGAAGCAGGAGAGGGAAGGATTTTGTTGCCAAATGAAGCCACCTTTTGAATACGAATGATTATTATTATTATTATTAATTAAAAGTCAATTTTCAAAACAAGCTTTGATTTCCTTTGAGTGAAATTTCTTTCAATGAAACCAAATCTGGACTTCATGATATCCTGACTCGGGTCAATAGGAATTTGTCATATAAATGGTGTGCATGCAGGGTGGGGGGGGGATTTAAAGCACAAAGGAGGAGGGGGGTGAGTTCACATATGCAGAGATACTTTCCTCTCTGAAACAAAACCTTTCCCACAGTTTTTCTTTCGTGAGTGAACATTTTAAAGGCAGTAAAACTCACCAGGGAAAGGATCATACCTGGCCATTCCCCTCCTTGCTAGAACCAGAGCAAGCACCCCCAGGTTGGCAGGATTGGTCCCAGAAACTGCTGGAACTCTCATTCTATGGACAAGCACCAGCTGGGAGTCCCGGAGGAAGTGTTACATAAGAAGGGCAAGCTCTTCCCTCCAGAACTGGCCTCAGCCAGGGAGGCCCTCCTGCTTCCTGCTGCGCCTGCGCCTGTTTCCTGCCTCCCCTCGCCATGCTGCCTCAGCAGCACAGGTCCTCCTGCCTGCTGCAGGGCCTGCATCTTGCCTGAGAGTTCCTGCTCCTAGCTCCTGCCTTTCCATTGCTGCCTTGCTGTTGTGCCTGCCTCTTGTCTGACTTGCATCTTGCCTCGCTGTCTTGTGCATTAACACAGGACTTCCTGTGGGTTGTGGTTCAGCTCCTGCATCTTGCCTGACTCTTACCGCATCTGGTTCCTGTTGTCTTGGGTATCTTGCCTTTTGCTGTTTCCCACCACGCTGGGCCGCCTGCCCTGTTATCCATCCAAGGTACCTGCACCCCCTTTGTCCTCCTGCTTCTCACCTTGGCTGGCTTCTGACCACGTCCTTGTTCTGCCCTCACGCATCCTTCTAGTGCCTGACCTCAGCCTGTACCCAGACTATTATTTGGATTTTCTGTGAAACCCTACTTCTGGGCTCTGTCTTGCTGAGGTTTTGTTGTCCGGGTCCCGGTGCCTCTGCTGCTCTCTTGCCTTGTCTCTGGCTGCCCATGTCCCGGCCCCCAACCTTGACCCCCCCCCCCCAATTAACTGCTGGACAGATGTAGATGAGGGTGGGAAGCGTGTGTCTCTCAGTTCTAGCAGTATGGCACTTGGGGGAGTATGGGAGTTGTAGTCCAGAACATCTGGCAGCCACTTGTTCATTATCCCTGGTGTAGTCTAAGCGCAGGTATGGGATCAGGCCCGGTGCCAGTGCAGCCCCTTCCCACATTCTGTACCACTGAATGGGGCGACCTGCATGCCCACCGCTCTGGGCTGGAGGAGGAAAGGTGGCGCATGACTGTAAGAATAAATAGCATAAAACCAGCAGCCTCTGCACACAGAAATGATACAGGTGCCCAGGGGTTAAAAAGTGCATGTATCCTTTCAGCCATGCTTCCAAGGCAGTTTACAAAAACACAAAAAGGGCCAAATGAATAATAATACCGTACAAGACTTAAAAACAACAACTTTAGAAGGACTGGGAGGATGCAAACATCTTGTCCTGGCACCTAAAGGGCAGCAGTGGCGACAGGCCTGAGCAGAGAGACTGTGGTGCCAGAAAGGCAAAGGTGGCCGCTTCTTCCCAGGGGTCCTGCACCTGCCCCTAGACTGGGGACCTCCAAGCAGGAAGCTTGGCACAGAAGCCTGCCGGGCCTTGCCACCGCTGCCCCCTTTGCCCCAGGGAGGGCTGGCCCACAAGTCAGCAAAGGTCTCGTGGACGGACGTGCCATGGGGGTGCTGAGCAAGCATCGTGTGGGGTCCACTCTGCTCGCCCCATACCACACCCCTCCTAAGCCACAGCGATGCCCATACAGCCTAGCACTGCCAATTAAAATGGGGCTTTTTTGGAAGGCGTTTGATGGACGGATTGAGCCAAAGCTCAGAGGTGCAGCACGTGCTTTGCCAGAATGAAGGTCCATGACGTCAGGCACCAGCATCTCCGTTTAAAACCCGCGGGTAGAAGGTAGCTCGGATCTCGGGCAAAATGCCCTGCAGGGGCAAGACTTCTGACTCTCCCTCATGTATCAAGAACTACAACAAACCACTCCATCTGCCTTCCCCTGCATCATACCGCTGAAATGGAAGAAAACTTAGTTTTTATGTGAAAGGACTTCGGGCTCCATTGACTTTACAACCAAAACAGGTTCCTGGGGGCACAGTTCATTAATCAGAAGCACCAGTCTTTTGTAATGAGTTCTGATTGGAGCTTAGTTCTGGAAGCCGAGCAGCGAGAAGACAAACTGGATCCCATGAGCCTAAAGTCTGCCTGCTCTGAATTATAAGGATCTTGGGTCACAGATCTGGGAAAGCATCAGTCTATGTTGGAAGCCACCAGCTTTTGCAAAACAAGGTGGCGGGGGGGGAGGTGTCTCCAGTCCAGCCCTGGGCACGGCCACAGCAGAAGGTGGCCAGAGTTACAGAAGTGACTCTTAATTTTGTGCAGTAGGCTTGCAGGGTTAGAAATGAGAACAGGAGGAGAATGATGCAAGCCGCTTTGATTTCATTGGAGGAAAGTGGGCTATAAATATCATTAATTAAATAAGTCATACCAGCAATCCAGACCCTGACCTGTAGGGGACATGGCTTGGGGGAGAATCCATGAGGGAAAATGGAAAGGTCGGGGGATCTGCTTTCGGAAGAAGACCAACAAGATAACCCAACCCTGTAATAGATGTGTGGGCTAGATGGGTCAGGGCCTAACTCAGGGTGAAAATAATTTGCAGGAAAGATTTTCTGAAAGTCTCAGAAAACCGTTGTTTTTCACTTGCCCACATCATGAGCCTCCATGGGGCAAGAAAGGCTTCTGAGCTTTCCTCGGCTTAACTGCAACATGGCTCTGTTGAGCTCCATGTTGATGGTTTGATCAAAAAGTGGTGATTCAGCAGCTTCCTATGAACCCCCCGCTCCTTAAAGTCCAGCACATAATGCTTGGTGGCATTACGGTATTCAGGCAGACATAATTTTCACAAGACTATCTAGCAGTAGCTGCAAACCAACAGGGCAAAAGCGAGGGAAGCGTGGACAGCTTCAAGATTTCAGTTCTCCAGGACAAAAATAGATGCTTAGAGTGATCTTGCTAAATACAGCTCCCTTGGGAGAACAGCCGTTTTCAGCGCAAAAAGCCAGGAACCAGAGAAACTGGAGCATCAGGAGGAATTACAAGGTGCAAAGTTACCATGTAGCGGCAACTAGCTGAGGAAGGGAAGATTTCAGTGTGAATGAAGCTTGAATTTAGTAGCTGGGATGTTGCGGAAATTGAAGTTCCACTGCCCCCTGGTGGAAGCCTTTCTTGAATTAGGTCTTCATTGTGAAGGTGAGGGAATGTTGTATTATTATCAAGGGTTGAGAGAAAGTGTCAGCACAGAAAGATGCACCATGCTGGGAGAGAAAGAAGGGGAAGAGGCAAAACTCACAGAGGACTAGTGAGGTTTGTGGGCTTCCTATTGACAACGGTCTGGCCTCCATCCCTGCTTCCCTAGGCTTCCAGGCTTATTCACCCTTTTGTTCTTCTTCTGAGCTCCCATCTCTTCTGAGGCCACATGAGACTTTTCTTCAACCTTGGCTTGCCTGCCTTTTAATATTGACAGCCAAACCTTGCCCCTCACTCTTCCTGTCCCACCCCCTGTGATTTTGCCCACATTTTCCCATCAGCATTAGCCCAGCATCTCAAGTGAGCAGCTGTTATGCATACAGGCAGTCCCAGAGCTGCGAAAGTCGGAGTTACAAGCAATCCTTACTTACGAACAAACTGCCTTAAAGCCTGTTAATTTAAAAAAAAATATTGCAGGAAATCATCATCACCATGGAGAGAGAGGAAGCAAAAGGGTAGAGAGGGAAGCTTGCAAAGCAAGTCTTCCTGCCCTGCCCTTCCAGAGGAGGAAATCCTTCTGGCATTTCCTTGCTGCAAAGAGGAGGCACTGATGAATTTAGGCATTTGGAAAGAGGTGGCGGCTTAGAGGTATTTGTGTTTTTTCCACTGTCATGGGGGTCCTGTGCCCCGACACCTAATGTGGAGGGGTGGCTATATGTGATCTGACTTACATACAAATTTGACTTAAGGATGAATTTCTGTTTTCTCAGGAATGGAACTCGTTCAGAATCTAGGGACTGCCTGCACTCGGATCAAGGCCTTCGTTCCCCACGAGAGGCTATTGGCAACTCCCTTGCCAATGTGTCTTTCTTTCTTCAACCACTGGTTATTTATTTATTTGTTTGCTTTGTTTACCATAACATCCCGCTGTTCTTCCACCTAGACGGCGCACGCAGGGTCACCCGACGCCCTCTCCTCCAGGCATTGGCCTGCCATGGCTACGGCGAGGCGCTCCATCGCACACCTTCATACCATGCCCTGAGACCCTGCGACTTTCCAGCCGTAGTGTGGTCACTTCCGGAATCATCCGCACTTGCTTCCGAGAGCCCCGGCTCCCCATCTGTGCACTCTACTTCTGCCTGCCCCACCCCAGATGTTCCCACTAATCTACGACGTGTGGTGCTAGACAATTAGTATCCTGCCAAGTCATTAATCAGTCCAGTGAGGGAGGGAATGGGCAGGGAAAGCAGGCTTCATTCTTTGTCCCATGGAAATGTGACGCTCAGGTCTCGTGTGCACTCCTGGTAGATCTGGTCAAAGTGTTCACTCTGCGCAGGGGTGAGGTGGTTCTTCCAGTCACCGGAGATCCCTGGAAAGTAAAGACAAAGACAAAATCCAATTAGAAATGGGGCAGATGAGATGGAGGAAGTTTTTCCTGAAGCAGTTTGTGAACAACATGTGGAATCCAGCGCTGCGACAGTGCCCACCTTCTATTTTTTATTTACCTCAAATATTATTAGAGTGTCACTGCCGGCAGCCATTCCAGCAGACGATGCTGAGAAAGCTGAGTGGGAAGGAAGAAGGGCCATTGAACAGCCCTGCTTTGAGATCTAATTCCCCCCTTCCCTTTTCCTTATTTCTTGCTCCTTGTATGTCACGTCTTTTTTGATAGTGAGCCTGTAGGCACAGACTGTCTTGTATTACTATTTATATGTAAGCCGCTCCAGGAGCCTTTCTGACTGAAAGGTAACACTTTAAACAATAAAATATAAATGCAGCAATCTAAAAGTCAGCATAAAGATTTGAAAGAACAAGGTTAAAATGAAATAAAAATGAACATCTATTCGTTTAAAAGTGTGTTGGAACATTCAGCACTTTAAGGCCTGTGGAAAACATTCAGGGAAGGAGGTGGGGCACCAGAGGAAAAGCCTTGGTCTTTTGTGCTTTCCACCCTAATTGGGCTTACTAACAGAGCCTAAAGGGATGCCCATGGATGCAGGCAGTCCTGGCAGTCAACTGGTCCTGTCACTTAGGGCTTTAAAGGGATATGCTGGCACTTTGCAGCTGGACCCAGAACCACACAAGGTGGCTGGTACCAAATCAGTATCATATGCTTTGACCACCCAGCCCTGGCAGCTACATTCAGCACCAGCTGAAGTTTCCAGGCCATTGCTAAAGGGGTAGACACATTCATTTTGAATTAATCCAGCAATCATATGAGCCACATTAGCTAAAAAGTGGGCCTCTGTCTCGGCTTTGCCGATACCGCTACCTAAGAATGTCCAATCAACTGGCCCAATTAGCTGGATTCTTGGTCTGATACTGCAAAGCAGTCCTTAGATTCTTAGGATGGCCAAGGAAGCAGCAAATGTTATGGGACTGGAGGTCCCATCAGGCAGAGGCAGGTGAGACTGGCTAGAGCAGAAATTTGCGAATGGCAGAACAGGTCCAGCAAGAAATGGAGGGCATCTCTGTGGCAACATCACCTTTCTGGATGTGCTTCTGCCGCCCTCAAACAGGAGATCTGGTACACAGAGAGGCCTAGGCCAAATGTATGGCCTCTGGCAGCCACTTAAGAACAGAAGAAGGGCTGTGCTGGATGAGGCCAAGACCCATTCTGTGCCCACGTATGACCGTGGCACACCACGAGCAAAATGTGGCTGCGATGGCACCCTCCTGCCCAGGTGCCCCAGCAACTGGGATAAATGGGCTTCGTGCCTCTGATCCTGGAGGTAATACAGAGCCATCATGACCCGGAACCACAGCTAGCCTGCTTAGACCGATGTGCCTAATCCCCTTTTCAGTCTGTCCAATCAGCCCCTTAATACAATGGGGAAACAGTCCTCGGATTCCTGTAAGCCTTTTGCTGCCTGAAGCAAGGGACAAAATGGTGCTCCCCTCATACACAAAACAGACCCCGGACCGGCACTTGACTTTTTCTCCAGAAGAAGGGACAGCTTCCTCCCTCACACATGAAGGGCCCAGGGCTAGGGCTGGGGGGAAGGGAGGCAGCACGGAAGCCCACAGGTCCCTGCTCCAGCATCTTGCGGCCACCCCCCGGGATCTGCTGCCTCGAGAGACGCCTCACTCTCATCCCACGCGAGGGTTGGCCCCCACCACCTTGCAGAGAGCGCATGCATTCACACAAGCACGAGGCCTGCATGTGTGTGAGGAGTGCAGGAGGAAACAGAGCCTTTGTACTGCTTCTCATACAAAGCACTCTTGAAAAGTTCGCTCACACGACACAGAGGCAAGTTGATGAGCGACAAGCAGGCTTGCTTCCAGAGCTGATTTCAGGCTTCTCGACTGCTCTTTCATCTTTCCGAGTGGAGCAAATGCATCTGGGGAACCATTGCCAGCCCCACCTCGTTTTGTACAGAAGGTTTTGATGTGTGGGGCACGCCTCTTACTGCTGGCCTCTGTAGGGTGGAATCCTGTTCGCTCTGGGCAGCGTTTTATCTACACACACCAGGAAGCTGGGGGAAGGGGGTGGCGCAAAGGAAAGAGGAGACCTGTGCGGCAAGCCACACGTGCTCCTGGGCCAGAATTGTGTGCGTGCTTCTATGGAAAACCAGAGCGCAGGAAGAGCCGGCTTCGTACGGAGCAGAGCACACCCATGGGCTATTCATCCAGACAAATGGCAGAGCTGAAGGGACGCACCCTTTGCCCCGCTCCATTGGCCCAGCCTGAAGGGAGGCTGGGTTGCGTGGTTATTACAATCCATTGTAAGCCCCCCGACTCACTCGATCGAAGGCAAGACATGTGCCCCTGAAATGTGTAAAGAACAGAATGGGTTCCCTCAACAGGGCATCTTCTAGATGTGTTACAATGCCAGCTCCCAACATCCCCCAGCAATTCAGACCTTTGGCTGGGGATGATGGAAGCTGCAGTCCAGCACAGCTGGAGGGCACTGGGTTCAGGAAGGCAGTCACCCAGAAACAGCAGAGGGGGACTCTGCTGATTTCCAACAACCAAGAGATGGTGATGCATATTGGAGCGATCCCAGTAAGCTGCCATGGGAACCCGGAAGAGGGAAGAAATCCCCATGGAGCCTGCCTGCCAGGCCAAGACGCGGCCCCTGGGCTTTCCGGCAAGGGAGCTTTCTGGGGGATGTTGCGGCCTTGAGGTGCTCGGCTGTGGGTGGCACGAAGTGGCTGTTGTCCCCAACTTAGGCACACCCTGAGAGCAGGCTGCTTGCCCCGCACCCCGGCCCTCCGGTCACCTTTGCGGAGGAAAGCGCTCTTCTTCTGGTTCATGAGGAAGCGCGGCGAGAGGGAGAAGTTAGACATCTTATTGCTCTTCATGGCCTCGAAGGAGGCATTGGCCACCACGGCGTCTATGGCTGCGTCGTCCAAGTCCTTGCCCAGGAACTGGCTAATGCGGACAACACTTCCCCGTAAGTCCTAGGGAAAGGGAGCGCAAAAAGGCAGGGCAGCTTGAAAGACAAACCGTTCCACAGGCAACTGGAAATGTTTCACATCACATTAAGCTCTCTTGGCCCTTCCAAAACAAAAGATGCCCATCTGAAGCTTTGGGGATTGTTGTTTGAAGAGGGGTGCAAACACTATTTCCTGAATCTTTCCTTATAATTTTCAACAACTTGGCCCTGGCACCTCATTTGGTCTGAAACAGAGTTCAATATGTATTGTTCTAAATTCATTTATTTAAAACTTTTATATGCCTTCCCTTATGCATAGCATCTCAGGACAGCTTACAATAAACATCAGCTTCCTCCCATTTCCAAGTAATTCTGGCATACTCAAAGGAGGACGAGGGAGAGGAGAGAACGCAGGACATTCTGTGCTGACTGTTTTTGGATACATGGAGAGACAGACTCAGTTTAAACCTGGAATAGCTTATAAGCCATCCTGAGCTTAAAGCGTCCGCTCATCCACTTGATGGCTATCCATTCCCAACTGGAATGGTCTGAGTACTCCTCCCTCTCTGCCCCATTTCTTTCAGCTTAATTACCCTTACAAGAATTGTGAAGGCTCCACTGAAAAGGATAATGGCCATTGTTAGTCATTGCTCCACATATCAAAACAACAAAGGTTCGTTTGGCACATTTAGACTAGCACATTTTTCTCTAGTCTAGACTTCTGTGAACCCGGTAGCCTCAAAATGCAATGGGTTGAGGAGAGATACATCAAAGGGAACAGATTGTGTCCAGGAAGCTTATGCCAGATAAGTCTTTAAGGCCCCAAAAGCTCCTTTGTTGATTTTGCTACAACAGACTAGCAACTCTACCCCCTTGGAAATTGTGTAAAGAAAGACTTCTGGACTTCAGGCACGAATTCTCTCTCAGTCACAGAAATACAAAGAGAAAGATGATCCATGTTTACATGTAGTCAAGCCTAGTAAAATCTTAAAACTGGACTTTTTAAAATGTCATGAGTTTTCAGAAGGGATAACTGCCTCTTGACCTCAGCCAGCAGTCTAACTTGGAGGAAGCCAACTTCCGTTCACCAGAAATACAAGACGGGGATGTTTCCTTTTGCACTTTTGAACCTTTGGAGCAAGAGGTTTGTCCCAGCCAAGAGTACCTGGCCAAGACAGCCACCCGTCCTGCGTGCCATAGAGAGAACGGTGTGGGAATAGTTTTCCCCCGCTGTCAGTGACCTTCAGGCTGTGGCTATCTGAGCGAAGGGAAGGCACATTCCGCTCCCAATGGAGGAACGTCTGCTTGCAAAATGCAAAGCTGTATTTATGAGCAAAATAACATAGTAACGACCTGTTGCAGCTCCTCGTATGTGATGAAGAAGAAGTTTTCCTTGTCCTTCAAGTTCATCCAGCCTTTAACATGGTCAAACCAAGATCCAAAAGGCACTGCAACCACAAGCAAGGACATTAATACCTGGAATATGTCCAGGGGCACAGAAAGGGAAGGAGAAAGGGTGACCCTATACACCAGGAGTGGGAAATGTGTGGCTTTCCAAATATTAGTAGGGTGCAACCCATCCCCCTTGCCCCCCAGCTTTGTCTGTGCTGGGTTTGGCTAATGGGAGCTGCAGTCCTTAAGCTTCTGGAGGGTCACATATTCCCAAGCCCTGCTCTAAACCTCAGGAAGGGAGAAAAGCATTACCAGTTCACACCCGTTCACTCACCATCTCCTTTTAGGAAGCCCTCGAGAAATTGATCCAAGGTGCCAGGGTCTTTATAGGGGCGAAACATTGAGGCAAAGTGATAGAGGGAGACTAAAACATCCTTGGGGTTTCTAACTGTGTAGATGATCTGTTGACAGAAGGTGGAGGAGGCATTGTCAGGCGTGGGAAATAAAGTGCAATATCAGAAAATAGAAACACGGCCCAGTTGTATGAAAACGGTAGGTGGATGACACAGATGAACAGGCATCAGTGAAAATGGCTAACATCTCTGCCTCCTCCTCCATGGCTGTCACTGACCGCGGGCAGGGAAAAATACCTTTTAATCCCACAGTTCTACAATATTTGCTGTCCAGTGTCAGAATCTGACCATGCAGCCCTTTCCTTGGTTTACAGGATGGAGCCAAGCCATTTGAAACGGATCTCACCATGGCTTGAATCCTCGCTGAAATTAGAGCGAAGGGCTGCAGCAAAGAACAGAACTACGGGCTGAAAGCGGGCCTTGGACCAGAGGTAGCTGCAACGAAGTGTTGCAGTGGGTCCTCATGCTCTAACAAAAGTGCTTCTGCCCAGTGTTCCAGCAAGTGCTGGCCCTGCATTTTGGAGGGCAAGGCGGTGGGCCCTTCCTCAGGAGATCTCCCTCCTCACACCCTTGTCAGCAGGTGCTCGTTCTGTCTGCCGTCTTGCTCACCAGGTCCTGTTCACTCTCTTTACAGGCAAAGCGTCATGGCACGTACTGCACACGCTGCTCGTTCTCGCTACTGCAATAGCCTGGGCCAAAGTGAGAGGTGGGTGGGCCAGCAGGTTGCCCTGACGAGGAGAAGCCGCTCCAAGAGGCTCTTGCCCTTGGGCCCCTGCTGAGGCACAGGCCCTTGACATTTGCCCAACCATGCCTACCCTTGGTGCTGGTCCCTTGCTCCAGCCAGCCAGCCATGGGACACACCGAGCTGTAAGGGCTTGATCCAACCAACTCACGCTCCCTTTTCCTTCATTCTTTTGCAACTGACACTTATCATTTCCCGGCTCCCAGAAGTTACTGAGCATTCTCAGTCCACGCTAGGCTCTGTTTTTATTTCCTTCCTTGTTTGTATTTTTAAAAACTGTATTTCTGCATCCCTTGGGATTCACCAGAGCAGGCAGCTATTATTCAGTTTGCTTGTTGAGATTCCAGTGCCAACAGCACTCCACTGCTTGAGTTTGCCGTTAGCAGGAACAGCGATGAAAGGGATACCAAAACGGTGGGAGGTGGGTATCTTGACAGAGAGTCTTCCCTTACCTTGGCTTTGGATTTGAAGAAGGACTTTGCAAAAAGCTGTGCTGGCAGGTGGGAGCTAATAATGCGCGGTGACTTGTTGGTTAGAGCCGTTCTGTATCCTACCACCGTCTCAAACCACGGGGCCCGGTCCCAGTTGGGCACTGTTCTGCACCAGCCAGGGTCACCGTTGCTACAGATGAGACTTAAGATCTCCAACATCCACACGGTCCCTAAGAAGATGAGACTTAAGACCTCCAACATCCACACGGTCCCTAAGAAGATGAGACTTAAGACCTCCAACATCCACACTCACCCCAAGAAGGAGCCCCCAAGCCAACTCCAGAAAGCAGGGTTTAATTTGTTAAACCTGGGCTTCAATTTGCGCACACATGATGATTCTCTTAGTCATCCCAACCTTCTAAGCTCAGAGATAGGCTCCCATCGAAACACTGACTAGATCTCAACCTGCTTAGCTTCAGCAAGGGGGCTGCACCACAAATCTTCAAACTACAAATATCTATTGCACCATAACTATTTTAACCCTATTAAAATTTAGGGAAGTCAGATCAGATGTTCCAGCTGGCCAGTTCAGGAGATCTGTCACAATACAGCCACTAGGATCATTTTTCAACATCCTCCTTTAGTCGCACAACAGCAGCTGCAGCGTAGCCGCGATTGCCCAGTTCAGCTCAGGGCACTTTTAATCATCAGGTCCAAAGGGACAGAGGTTCCAGATGTGCAGCTTCTATCCCCACAGGAATGTAAAAACAGCCCTCTGACTAATGGCCCCTCCTGCCCAGGGCCATCCCTGCATCCCATGGAAGCTTCGCAGGGGCCACCATGTGGGCAACAGCCTTACTTCTCTGGTCAACCAAAATGGGGTGGTTGGAGATCAGCTGCTGAATATGGAGGTTCTGTTGATCCAGGAAGGACATGGACACATCTGGCCCCTCTGGATTTGTCTAAATAAACTGGTGAGCAGTATCACATCTTAGGGAATCAGCTGTGACACATCTGTCTTCTAATGTCTCAATGTGGTCCATTCATTTGAGTGCTTTCAGTAATACGGGAGCCAGAGAGACAATGTTCCCTCTCTCCACACTCCCCACAGAGCCTTTTATATGCTCTTTGCTTTTCTAACTACCCGTCTCACTCTCGTTCCCGTCCCTTCTATGGTATGAAACAATGCCAGCATTTTAAAACAGAAGGGCCAGAACTTGGGCCAAACAGCCAGATCTAAACTCTTGGGGTCCCAGTCTTGTTCTCTGATGTTCCCAAAAAGAAATGTTTTCCTGACTCCACCACATTTCTCCCCATCACTGCTGGCTTCTTGGCCTCTGTGCATTTTTCTCTTCTTCAGAGGTTGAAATGCCTTTCTTAAGGCTTAACTGCTGGTAGGAAATGTGTTATGCAAATACACACTGATAGTTTGGGAATGCTGACCCTACCAATTTAGACTGGAGCTCCACCCATTGCTGGAATGCAGGCCCTGAAAGCTTGTCTGAAATGGAATTCTTTTGGTTTTAATAGATTTTAAATATTCTGACTGCTTTTGTCACTTGATCTTGTAATACCATTTTCAGGTTTTAAGAATGTTTGGTGGCTCTTGTTTTAAATCAAGAGATTGTTTACCTAGGAGTAAAGCTCACTGAACTTGGTGGACCTTACTTCTGAGTAGACATGGATAGGATTGTGCTGCCAGCACAGACGCAGGTGACTCTCCTACCCCAGTCATCTCTGAGAGTACCTGATTTCTGGTAGGTGACGTTGAAAATGTCATCATCTCGAACTTGGAAATTGTTTTCTACCATCTGCAGCACTTTTTCTGAGTAGATGATTTGAGGAAAGCTGATTCCTTTGTACTGGAAATATTCCTTAAACATTCTGGAACCGGCAGATAATAGGAAGGCTGTGAATTGGTGGCAAAAGTTGTTGAATGGCTGAACCCAAATAAATGTCTTCTGCAGCAGGGGGACGCAGACGGCTCTTCTAAAAGGGAGAAAAGATTTATGAAATATCAGGCATGCTGGTGGTAGAAGACGAATGTGCTATAGAAATGGACTCTTAGAACAGGTAAGTGGGCATTTGGACCCAGATCTGTCTGGTTTTCACCCTTATCTTTCTTAACATACTGGCTCACTTCCTGCATTTTTAATGCATTCCGTTTCATTTCGATACCACTTAATTGCTGAAGCCATCTGAGTGATTCATAAAATAATGCTTAAAGCCATTGCATATAAAGCAGAGCATCAAAACTAAAAGAGGCTAAGATGGTCAAAGAAAACCAAATTAAAGCTAAAGTAAAAGCTAAAAAGCTGGCAGGCTATGCAAGAGATCAAAAGAATACCAACACAGTTTTCGGAACTGGATGACTAAAGAGACCTGGAGCAATAAAAAGGACCACAATGGAGATGCCCGGTGCTGTGACCTGAACATGAAAGGTGGGCCCGGTTCGGTTCGTTGAACACAATAACGGGAGGGGCTGGCACAATGACAGGGAGTGGCCACGGGTAGCAGGGGGCGCCCTGATATGCAACGCTGAACGGCTGAACGCGCCACACGCAGCAAGGAACGCTTACGCTTGCTAGGCAACAATGGGCTTGCAAAAGCAGTGTTAACCGCAAACTTGAGCTTCTGTACTTCACGCTCGCTTAATATGAAACGTGGTACTTTTCCCACAGGCGCACAAAGTAACGGTTAGCGCCAAGAACATCCGGGTAGAAAATGTATGAAAACTGTACCATCCCAATACCAGGGACCGCACTCCCCCCGAGTGTTGGTCCCTGCGCAGGTATAATAAAGGACCCTTCAACTCTCCATACTTCTTGTCCAGTGGTCTCATTCGATCGCGCCACAACACCCGGTGGACCTCTATGGGAAAGGCACCACTGGGGTGCCACTGGGGTGCCAAAGTCCCTCCCTCTAGGAGTGACCTGCTTCACATCATTTGGCAGCGGTACCTGACTGAAGATTATGGCAGGGTTTACGCAAGTATATATGTGAGGCAACAGTCCTTCACATTCTAACCTTATGATCCTTGCCTTAAGCTGCTGAGGGTGTTAAAGGGATTACGGGCACTTTCAATCGGACATGGAAACGGACTGGAAGCCAGTGCAGGTGATGAAGTCCTATGATCACAAAAGCAAGTGCTCACACCTCCCAAATACCATGTCAAAGGGGAATGAAGCCCTACATTCTCTAGGTGGCCTTAAATGGGTTATTGCATCCCTCAACCTAACCTACCTGTTAATGATCTCACTGCCCTGTTTCAGACCATCTGATGCTTCTGGACAAGGGAACACAAAAATTACGAGGCTTGTTTAGGTTCCACCCACTCACAGCCACAACCAGCGGGAACCTTGTTCAGCTTTTCAGCTGAGGCACTGCATGTCTTTTTCAGTCTTCACAAAAACAACAGAGGAGGGTTGGAGCAAATTCCCATTAAGTTCTGCATGGTGATGTTCCAAAGAATCTCAGGGCCAGAGGGTAAATCCAGCCTCCTCTGTGGTCCCTCCAAAGACCCTGTCCTCTTATTTGTTGGTTATTTGTTTATCTAATTCTTTTCTATACCATCATGTTATTTTTCAAAAAATCTCAAGACAGCGTCTTCTCTTGTTGCAGCTGGTTCCCCCCCCCCCCCCCCGGTTTTGTGGCTTCTCAGCTGTTGTGTTCCCCACCACCACCCCTATCAAAAGGTTGAAAAGCTTCTCCCTCAGGCTTAGTTACTGAGAGTGAAAGCTTTCAGCTAAGAATGCAGGAATTTTGGCTTCAACCCTTTTGCCTTTCAGCCCTGTGCTTGGGAACACTACAAAACCCCTGTCCAACAGAATGCTACACCCCACCAACTTGAGGGCCTCTGTTGAGGTCTTTCCCATGTTTGACCTCCAACAGAGGCACAGTCACTGCCACGGATCACTTTAAGCAAGCAGAATGTTGGTGCTTCGGCCCCACTGCGTTTGACCGGCCCCTCCTCTGCAGCCCTGGGGAAACCTCTGAGAGACTGAATGTGGTTCTCACTCTAAAAGAGGTTCAGCATGCCAGTGCAGAAGCAAAAAGACAGCAGCACGCTCCTGTCATTCGCCTCAGCCTATAGTATTTCAAGATACACTGCTGCTAAACATGGAGGCTCCATTGTAGCTGACAACCACTTGAATGATCTCCAAGAAATTGTCCACTTCTTTGAACAAGAAACACCTGAAGGCACAACTCTATGCAGGTTTATTCTGTTCCCATCACGCCCGGCCACTTCTGTGTAAACATGTGCAAGATTACACCTTAAGCTAGGATCCTGCACAGGATTCTACACATTCATTATGTGTCACATGGAAAAGTACTCACTCTGTGCCTCTTCCCAACCCTGGCGCTGACCAACTTCATTGGCTGAAAGGTGGATAGAAAATCATCTGGCAAGTCTAGGAGTTGTTGAGCGTTGGCGAGGTGCAAGGCGTGGTACGTCTTCCAAAGTCACGCGCGGTGTGGCTCTTTTCCCTTTCCACCCTGTAATAAAAGCCTGATTCTGCTGGAGGGAAGTCCTCCTCATCCCTCGCAGCCAGAACTGGCACACTGGGGCGGTACTGGAAACGCAAGGAATAAATACCACCAAGAAACCAGCCACGCCAGTTGGACCTGACCGGGCCTCTCCTCCCACTGGCATCATAAGCAACACGCTGCCATAGCGCTCAGCTTCACCGTGTACCACGGCCTGAGCAGCAAGGCAGCTGGGATGCCGTGCCTGGACGCCGTGATGAATTAAATCAGCCTCCCCAAGCTACAGGTCTGACGGGCGGGTGCCGGGAGCTGCACTCCAACGCATCTGGAGGGTACCAGCTTGGAGGTGGTGGATGTAAATTCATGGGTCTGTGAGTCCAAAGGAGCCATCGCTTGGAGAGGCAGCCCAGCACAGCAGCGTCTGATCTGACTTAGTTCGGAGGTCCTACCAGCTCCCCTTCCCCTGCTCACCCCACCCTCCCCTTTAGCCTCAGGGGTGACCCAGCACCTGCTTATGGGCACCTGCTCGGGAGCACCCAACCTGCACCCACAACCAGAGTCGTTAACATGGTAATTAGGGTGGATTTCATTTATTCAAAATGACTCTCAGATGCTGCCTTTGAGGGTGGAGCATCTTCAAGGCTGGAGATGTCTGTACTCACCCAATATAGAGGATTATAGAAGTCAGCATTCATTTGGGGCTTTTTTACATGAGGACTATAACCCAATAGTTTGCCGAGGCTGCTGCTTTTCCATTTTCTTTGCAGCAGGAAGAAGGCTCATTTTTCACAGATTTTTTTTTCCCTGTCTCTTTCTAAGTTTCTGTCTGTTCCATTACACAGGACAAGGGGGCACCATGGGATAGGGTGAGTTTAGACTTCGCACAAGGCTTCTGCAGCAAGCCATAGGGTTATCTGGGGAAATACTGTATTATCTTCTCTAAAAAAAATGTACAAAAATGGCTGAAAAACACAGCCAAGCCCCTGGGAGGATGAAGATGCTGTGTAAAGGACCCACAAACTTCACTTGTGAGGGATCACAAATACCTTGAGTAGGAGAGCCCTTAGTCTAACCAACCCTTCCTGACATGGGAGAGCCAGTGTGGCGTAGTGTTTAAGAGTGTGGGACTGGGACTCAGAGGATCTGGGTTCGAGTCCCCGCTCAGCCATGGTGCCAACTGGGTGACTTTGGGCCAGTCACAGACTCTCAGCCCAACCTACCTCAAAGGGTTGTTGTTGTGGGGATAAGATGGAGGAGGAGAATGATGTAAGCTGCCTTGAGCCCCTTGAAGGAAAAAGGCAGGATATAAATCCATAAATAAATAAATAAAAATGGGAAATGAGGGCACCTCTTGGTGAGCAGGGATCTTCCTTCACTGGTAATGTGTGGGAGGTTGCTACTTCAAAGAGCACCACCTTGACTTCAGTGCTCAGCCAGATCACATCAAGCATCGCCCAGTGACCAGAAGGCTGCATTCCTGCACCTTTGCTGTTTCAGCAGCGACTCAGTGTGGAAACATCCATGGCAAGCTGATCCGGAGGAAGATTAATCCCCATCCTTCACCCGCTAACATCTCCTGTACTTGGCTGCTGTTACAGGCGCAGCTCCAAGCTCAGCTGAAAGCTTTGAGCCTTACTAATCCAGCAGCCTTGCGGCAGAAGCCCCAACAGGGAGAGTGGGTTTTTTTCCCATGCCGGTCAGTTATTGTGCAAGCATTATCCCAGGAAAGCAATCCTAGCTGCATAAGCAAGAAGGAATTTGTTTTATGTATTACATGAAAAGGAAATGCTGCTAATCCAAATAAACAAATCATCTGCAGAGAAAGGGGATTTTATGCTGTCCCAGGGACTGAAGGGTGGAAGGGAAGCAGATTCCGGCTGTTGTGGTCAGCCTGCAACCTAGGGTCATGGGGGACTTTGCCCGCAGGAATAACAAGAAGGTGAAGGAGAGAAACAGAAACAGAGCGAGTCAGAAGGGGCCTCCCGGGCCATCTAGTCTGAGATCAAGCTGGATCCATCCCTCCGCTGGCAAAGCTGCATGCAGGGAGCTCGTGTCCCCCTTCCTGGTCCAAAAGAGCACTCAGTGCCAACTGCCCTGGACCATAGAAGCGTGTCCCTCAAGGAAAGGAAACCCTCACCACTATTCATGGCAAGAACACCAGCAGGGGAAGGTCAGCCTGACCCAAGGGACACTTGAACTCCTGCTTATACCTCACCATCTTGTTCTGATCTTGATTCCGCTCCCATTTTCTCCCCTTCACTCGCCTTTCCTTGCCTGCCTTGGTTTTTCAGTTTCTGGGACTGATGGCATGGCATGGCCCCTCTTTCTCTCTCCCATTTCAATTGTTGTGAGCCATTTTGGAAAGTTGAAATGTGGGATGAACATACTTGACATA